TTTTTTCCATATTCCAACTTATAATGATGTAGTCACAAGTGTTAATTTTTATACAAATATAAGAAGAGAATTAAATATATTTGTATGTATATATAATTTAAAATTTTTCTAAACTAATAATTTAAAAAGTTATAAACATAAAAGTTAACTTATAAATTTCATATATACCGCAAGATAAAATATTAAATTAGTTCAAGAGAATTATAATGATTTTTTTTTTAAAATTTATAAAGTCTCGTGCATAGCATGAGTTACCACTAGTATATATATAGAAATACATCAAAATTGTTATTAATCCCGGAATATATAGAAATACATCACAATTGTTATTAATCCTTAGTAATCCTTCAATAATCACGGAAATCACAGACATAGAGACTCTATATAAATACATCACAATTGTTATTAATCCTTAGTAATCCTTCAATAATCACGGAAATCACAGACAGAGAGAGAGAGAGGGAAAGAAATTTTTGTTGAATCCTTCAACATGGTGGTAACTCAAGGTCCCGGTGGTAGTAGCCCACCCAGGCCTCGAATCTACACTGACATCAAGTTCAACGACGAGCGGGTTGTCCCGCCTTCTTCGGTTATTGACCCGTTGATGGTGTGGGCAAGTCCGTAGGCGGACTCGGCTTCAGTGCCTCCGCCTCCAAGGCCGCATCGAAGGTGACCAGGATTCAAGCCCATCGACGCCACCGGCACCGATGGCAACAAAGCGGTGGAGGCAGTTCACGACAGTGATCGAAGAGGAAGATGACCGTGAGGATGGGGTTAGGAAGAGGAGGATGATGGTGAGGACGCTGGTGAGGATAATTTTGATCGGGTAGCGACGAAGAGTGGGTTGGGGAAGAGTAAGGGAAGGAAGTCGAAGTTCAGTAAAGAGTGTGTGAACAAGTGACCAAAATGATAAGTAATGACACGCTACCACGTTTGGCCTATCTTTTTTTCTTTTTTGATTTAAACCTTTTGCCTAGTTTACGTTGTTGAAGCCACAATTTTGGTGCACCCCTATCTATCTATATATATATATTAAGGAAAAAGGGATTTCTAACCCCCAAGCCTTGTTGGAGCTCCAATTTCCCAATCTTAATTTTCTAAATTTTTTATTCTAAAAAAAAAACTTTGTATTTATTGATTTGGTCAAAATCCCCTAATCAACATTTATTAACTTTTTTCAATCCACATGTCTTTCCACATGCCTGTATTTATTGATTTGGTCAAAATTTCCTGATCAGCATTTAAAATCCCTTCATACATATAATTATAGATACAACCCGTGCATAGTTACTGTAGTACCCTTTCAACTTCTCCCATACACCATGGTTAGTGATAAAATTGTTAAATTATTTTTATGAAAAATCTTTAAAAAAATAATTTATATATTAAAAAAAATCTAAACAAATATAAATATTTATAATTATCCTGTGAATCGCATGGGTGATAGGCTAGTTAGTTTACTGGAACATAGATTTACTTTGTAAATTTGTACTTTGTAAATTTTATATTAATGCATTGATAACACATTAAGGCACTATTTGACATTTCTTATAAAAGTGTATTTTTTTTAATCTTTTTTTTAGTTAGATTGCCTCTCTATGTTTTTACACATTTTTTTGCAAAAATCAAAAAATATAGTTATTTAGATCATATCTATAGCGATCTCGGTTTTCCCTCCATTGGTTATTGTATTCCAAACTCGGTTCCGTGGATGTCTGTTGTTGTATATGTTGTATTTCTATCCTTTAAGTCCTTGTATTTGAATTTTGGAATGTCTTGGGCAGGTTTGTAACAGGTTGGGTGTATTTTGAAACAAATGGTTGCTGCCCAATTTTTGGTATCTTCGCTCGAGCGAGATCTGCGTTTTAGTTCCTTCGCTCGAGCCAGGGTTCCTTCACTCAAGCGAGATCTAAGATGTGTGTCTGTTGGCTCGAGCGAGAATTCTTGTGCTCGAGCATGCGTCTGCGTCTAGTCTGGACCTGAAGGTTGTGTTTCTTGGCTTGAGCGAGCTTTCCTTCGCTTCAGCGAGCGAGCTGTATGTTTTGGGTTTCTTCGCTCAAGCGAGTACTCCTGCGCTCGAGCGTGCTTTTGGGTTGCATACCTGAAGTTTCGTATTGTTCGCTCGAATGAGGCTTTGTGCGCTCGAGTGAGGTTTCTTTGTGTGTGGTCGCTCGAGCGACCACTCCTTCGTTCGAGCGAGCCTTGAGTATATCAGATCGCAGCAGCAGTCTCCTTCATCACTTTTTGATCCTCTTTACATTTCAAACACTAGATCCGACTCTCTCTCTCTTTGCTTATACCTTCTCTCCAGGAATACACTCGGTTCTTGGGTGTGTCTACTCTAGTCCTTTTGTAATAAGTGTGGAGATTGGTGTGGGCTACATTTTGATCCGAAAATCATTGGGTTTAGAGCATCTCGAGTTTTCTTCATCTTCTCCTTTGAGTCTCTCCATTTGAGGTAGGGATACCCTACTCCTTATGAGTTTTGACATAGATTTTAGTCATTTTGTATAAGTGGTGGATTATGGAAATTTTGGGAAAGTTAGGGTTTATTTTGAAGTTATAAAATGGGGTTTTTCAATTGTTAAACTCCATGTGTTTGTGCGACCTTGGAAAATGGAATTATTGTTGTTAAATTGATGAAATTGATCCTTAGGGTTGATATTTGAAAAAGGGGGAAAATGCCCTAATTATGTTGACTAATTAATTTGAATAATTAATTTGGAAAAATATGAAATTGAGTTGGAAATTATGAAATTGGGAAGTTACGAGATTGAATGGTGTAGTTGGATTAGTTAATCACTCATCTGTGAAAATGTCGAGATTTTATCTGTTTGATAAATTTATTATCTGTTTAGAGATAACTGCTTTGGGCTATCGGTGGAGGATAGTCTTGATTGTTGTAGACACTGTATGTTGATTAGGGAAAACTGAAACTGATCACATGTGTTATGTCATTGAATATGACGGTTGAATTGTCACATTGAATATGTACCTAGATAGATCATTGTATATAATAAAACGTTCAAATACATTGCATATGTATCTTGTATGGGAGAAGATAGGGGATGTACTGTCAAACCTATTTGGGAGGAGATAGGGGATGGACTCCATTGATAACTAAGTTGGCCGGAGTGTCCAGGGTGAAAGTCCTGAAATCTTAATTACGTTTGCATAACGTAGATAATGGAAGTGTTTTTAATATGAGTTGTAGTCTCATTTGAATTATTGATATTGGAAGTGTATTTAATATGAGTTGTAGTCTCATTGAAATTGTTTGGCTCGATAATGAGCCATGTTCATGAATTTGAATTGGATAAGTAAAGGAAAATAGAATGAAACACGGGTGTACTTGTCATGGAACTGGAAAGTGTTGTAAGTTGGTTTACCAGTGTTAACCATTTATCGAATGCTAATGTTTTAGTTATTTCTCATACTTGGTTTAGTATATCTCTACGGGGCTTTGGCTCACCCTTTATGGGACATCATTTTCAGGTACAGGTGATATGCCACCTCCAAGGGCATAGCTCGGGAGGCTTAGAGGCTGAAAGATCTTTTGTTGTTATCTTTTGTGTTACATGTAAATCAAGCCAAGGGCTTATTTTGTATAAGAGTTAGAACTCTTCTTTTGTTGAAACCAAGTGTTGACTTGGAAAGTTGTAAGGCCGTAGGGCATTTACTTTTGTTGTCAACATGTAATACTTTTGTACTTAATACTCTGATAAATGGAAATATGCTTTATTCTCTTATGTCATGACCGTTAAGTTATATGTATTATTTTGAGGGTGTCAGAATATCAAACCCAAATCCACTGATAAACATTTAAAATCCCCTCATATAAATAATATAAATAATTATAGATACAACCCGTGCATAGTTACTGCAATATTTTTTCAACTTCTCCCATACACTACGGTTAGTGATAAGAATGTAAAATTATTATTATAAAAAATCTTTAAAAAAATAATTTATATATTAAAAGAATCTAAAACAAATATAAATATTTATAATTATCCCGTGCATCGCACGGGTGATAGGCTAGTATATTATATATGGAAAAAGGGATTTCTAACTCACAAGTTTTCTATAGAAGAGTTAGATGGTTTCTTTTATCTCTAAAAAACCAATCGATTTTTCTTTTTTTTACTTTTTAATTTTTTAAATTGAAACATCAATTGTTTATGTCCATGAAATAAAACTGATAAACACATATCAAAAGCTACACATTTTTTTTTCATTTTTTAATACGTAGGATATTTACAAATGGAAAATGTTTGACACCACAATTTTTTTTTTCCATAATCCAACTTATAATGATGTAGCCACAAGTGCTAATTTTTATACAAATATGAGAAGAGAATTAAATATATTTGTATATATATATATATTTAAATTTTTTTCTAAACTAATAATTTAAAAAGTTATAAACATAAAAGTTAACTTATAAATTTCATATATACCGCAAGATAAAATATTAAATTTGTTCAAGATAATTATAATGATTTTTTTTTAATTTATAAAGTCTCGTGCATAGCACGAGTTACCACTAGTATATATATATATATATAAAAATACATCAAAATTGTTATTAATCACGGAATATATAGAAATACATCACAATTGTTATTAATCCTTAGTAATCCTTCAATAATCACGGAAATCACAAATAGAGAGACCCTATATAAATACATCACAATTGTTATTAATCCCTAGTAATCCTTCAATAATCACGGAAATCACAGACAGAGAGAGTGAGAGAGAAAGAAATTTTTGTTGAATACTTCAACATGGTGGTAACTCAAGGTCCCGGCGGTAGTAGCCCACCCAGGCCTCGAATCTACACTGACATCAAGTTCAACGGCGAGCGGGTTGTCCCGCATTCTTCGGTTTACTGACCCGCGTGGGCCAAGTCAGTAGGCGGACTCGACTTCAAGTGTCTCCGCCTCTAAGGCCGCATCGAAGGTAACCAGGATTCAAGCCCATCGTCGCCTCCGGCACTGATGGCAACAAAGCGGTGGAGACAGTTCACGACAGTGATCGAAGAGGAAGATGACCGTGAGAATGGGGTTAGGAAGAGGAGGACGCTGGTGAGGAAGCTTGAGGATGATTTTGATCGGGTAGCGACGAAGAGTGGGTTGGGGAAGAGTAAGGGAAGGAAGTCGAAGTTCAGTGAAGAGTGTGTGAACAAGTGACCAAAATGATAAGTAATGACACGCTACCACGTTGGGCCTATCTTTTTTTCTTTTTTTTTTTTTCCGAAGGTAACCAGGATTCAAGCCCATCGTCACCTCCGGCACTGATGGCAACAAAGCGGTAGAGACAGTTCACGACAGTGATCGAAGAGGAAGATGACCGTGAGAATAGGGTTAGGAAGAGGAGGACGCTGGTGAGGAAGCTTGAGGATGATTTTGATCGGGTAGCGACGAAGAGTGGGTTGGGGAAGAGTAAGGGAAGGAAGTCGAAGTTCAGTGAAGAGTGTGTGAACAAGTGACCAAAATGATAAGTAATGACACGCTACCACGTTGGGCCTATCTTTTTTTCTTTTTTTTTTTTTCGATTTGAACGCTTGGCCTACTTTACGTTGTTGAAGCCACAATTTTGGTGCGCCCCTATCTATCTATATCTATACTATATATTAAGCAAAAGGGGATTTTTAACTCTAAGCCTTGTGGGAGCTCTAATCTCCCAATCTAAATTTCCTAAATTTTTGATTTAAAAAAAAAAAACCTTAACATTTATTAACTTCTCCCAACTCCCAAGTCTTACCCTCATAATAACACTTTAATGCATTAAGAACAAGCATAAAATTTTTTTTTTGAAATCCAACACATGAATTCCTTGAAAAGTCCATTATCCCTCATAATAACACTTTAATGCATTAAGAACAAGCATAAAAAAATTTCTTGAAAAGTTCAACACATATTATTATTATTAAAATATTAAACTTTAATATAATATAATAAAAAAAAGAAGGCATTTAATTCCCTGAAAATTCTAACACATATGATTATTATCAAAATATTAAACTTTAATATAATACAAAAAAAGAAGACATTTAAAAAAAAAGACATTTAAAAATCGCAATTCACATATTTAGATAATTGTAAATATATTAAGAAAAAGGGAGTTTCTAAACCTCAAGCCTTGTGAGAGCTCCAATCTCTCAATCTTAATTTTCTAAATTTTTTATTTAAAAAAAACCTCAGTATTTATTGATTTGATCAAAATCCCCTGATCGGCATTTATTAACTTTTTTCAATTCACATACCTGCATTTATTGATTTGGTCAAAATCCCTGATTAATATTTAAAATCCACTCATACAAATAATTATAGATACAGCCCGTGCATAGTTACTACAGTAGCCTTTTTAATTTCTCCTATACACTATGATTGGTGATAAGATTGTTAAATTATTTTTATAAAAAATCTTAAAAAACATAATTTATATATTAAAAATAAATTAAAACAAATATAAATATCTATAATTATCCCGTGCATAGCACGGGTGATAGGCTAGTATATATTAAGGAAAAAGGGGTTTCTAACCCCAAGCCTTGTGGAAGCTCCAATATCCCAATCTTAATTTTCTAAATTTTCTATTCTAAAAAAAAAAAAAAAAACTTTGGAAAAAAAAAGGTGTGTTGATCACTTTCTATTTGCAAATAGAGGAACAAAACATATATATAGGCACTATTTGGCATTTTTTATAAAAAGGTATATATATCTATATATATATATTTTTTTTTTTAATCTTCTTTTAGTTACATCGCCTCTCTATGTTTTTACACATTTTTTTGTAAAAATTCAAAAAATATAGTTATTTAGATCATATCAAACCCAAATCCACTGATCAGCAATTAAAATCCCATCATATAAATAATATAAATAATTATAGATACAACCCGTGCATAGTTACTGCAGTATTCTTTCAACTTCTCCCATACACTACGGTTAGTGATAAGATTGTTAAATTATTATTGTAAAAAATCTTAAAAAAAATAATTTATATATTAAAAAAATCTAAAACATATATAAATATTTATAATTATCATGTGCATTGCACGGGTGATGGGCTAGTATATTATATAAGGAAAAAGGGATTTCTATCTCACAAGCTTTATATAGAAAAGTTAGATGGTTTCTTTTATCTCTAAAAAACCAATCTATTTTTTTTTTTTACTTTTTAATTTTTTAAATTGAAACATCAATTGTTTATGTCCATGAAATAAAACTGATAAACACATATCAAAAGCTACACATTTTTTTTTTCATGTTTTAATACGTAGGATATTTACAAATGGAAAATGTTTGACACCCCAAATTTTTTTTTCCCATAATCCAACTTATGATGATGTAGTCACAAGTGTTAATTTTTATACAAATATGAGAAGAGAATTAAATATATTTGTATACATATATATATTTAAAATTTTTCTAAACTAATAATTTAAAAAGTTATAAACATAAATATTAACTTATAAATTTCATATATACCACAAGATAAAATATTAAATTAGTTCAAGATAATTATAATGATTTTTTTTTTAATTTATAAAGTCTCGTGCATAGCACGAGTTTCCGCTAGTATATCTATATAGGAATACATCAAAATTGTTATTAATCCCAGAATATATCGAAATACATCACAATTGTTATTAATTCTTAGTAATTCTTCAATAATCATGGAAATCACAGACAGAAAGACTTTATATAAATACATCACAATTGTTATTAATCCTTAGTAATCCTTCAATAATCATGGAAATCACAGAGAGAGAGAGAGAGAGAGAGAGAGAGAAAGAAATTTTTGTTGAATCCTTCAACATGGTGGTAACTCAAGGTCCTGGCGGTAGTAGCCCACCCAGGCCCCGAATCTACACTGACATCAAGTTCAACGGCGAGTGGGTTGTCCCGCCTTCTTCGATTACTGACCCGTTGATGGCGTGGGCCAAGTCCGTAGCCGGACTCGGCTTCAAGTGCCTCCGCCTCCAAGGCTGCATCGAAGGTAACCAGGATTCAAACACATCGTCGCATCCGACACCGATGGCAACAAAGCGGTGGAGGCAGTTCACGATAGTGATCGAAGAGGAAGATGACTGTGAGGATGGGGTTAGGAAGAGGTGGACGCTGGTGAGGAAGCTTGAGGATGATTTTGATCGGGTAGCGACGAAGAGTGGGTTGGGGAAGAGTATGCGAAGGAAGTCGAAGTTTAGTGAAGAGTGTGTGAACAAGTGACCAAAATGAAAAGTAATGACACGCTATATCACGCCCTCAAATTTAGGTACACAGACCAATTATTCATGATAACCATAAAACAGAAAAGAAGCATTATATTCCAAACATCAGAGTATTCTTTTCAAAAAGTATTACATGTTGACAACAATAGTAAATGCCTTACGGGTTTACAACTTTCCAAGTCAACACTTGGTTTCAACAAAAGAGAGTTCTAACTTTTAACAGATTGAGCCCTAGGCTTGAATTACATGCAATACAAAAAATAACTAAACAAAAATATGCCTCCAGTTTCTAAACCTCCCAAGCTACATCCTTGGAGGCGACATATCACCTACACTTGAAAATGATGCCCCATATTGGGTGAGCCAACGCCCAGTAGAGATATGCCAAACATAGTATGAACAGTAACTAAAACATTAGCATTTGATACATGTTAAACTCATATAAACAAACGTACATCCCTTTCATAACCAATCCATAATCATATATATATACATATATATATATATATTTCCATTCCTTTCCATTCCATAATCCGAACCAATTCATAGTTATGGTTCTCTGTTCATCCAAACAATTTATAATGAGACTACAACTCATATCAACAATACTTCGATTTCAAATGAGACTACGACTCATTTTATTAATACTTCAATACTTCAATTCATCTACGTTATGCAAACGCAATCAAGATTTCGGGACTTTCACCCTGGACACTCCGGCCAACTTAGTTATCACTGGAGTCCATCCCCTATCTCCTCCCAAACCATGGAGTACATCCCCTATCTCCTCCCAAACAAGATACATATGCAATGTATTTAAACAAGCTGTCGTATACAATGACCAATTTGCTAACATATTCAATGTTATAATCCACTCGTCATATTCTATGACATACTCAATTGATTAGTTTTAATTCACCTAATCATCATGCAGTGTCTACAACAATTAAGACTATCCTCCACCGATAGCCCAAACAATTATTTTGAAACCGATAATAAATTCATCAAACAGATAAATTATCAATATTCTCATAGGTGAGTGATTAATCAATCCAACTACACCATTCAATCTCATAATTCCCCAATTTTATTATTTTCAAACCAATTTCATATTCCCATAATAAATTTTATTTATTACACAAATGACCCGATTAAACCTAACTAAGGCATTTTTCTCTTTTTCTCAACATTAACCTAAAGGTCCAAATATCATCAATAAACATCAATGACCTCATCTTAAGACCCATATACACATGTATAGTTCAAAAGGAACAAACCCCCCGCCCTTTTCACATTTCAAGTTTTGACACCCTAACACCCAACATTCTCCAACTTCAACATTAAATCAAAATGACCACATGTTTATGTCAAAGGCCATAAATATGAGTATTTATCCTTACCTCAAGTGAAGAGACTCAAAGGAGATGAAAAAGAAACTCGAATGTGCTCCAAACCCACAATTTTTCGGATCAAAACGAAGATCAAGCCAAGCTCCACACTTTATACAAAGGGACTAGGGTAGAAGATCACTTGAACTAGATGTATTTGTAGAGAGAAGATGTATTATAGCGAGAGAAGCTCTCAAATTAGGGTTTTGGAAAGTTAGAGAGAGAGAGAGTCGAAAAAGTGATTCAAAAAGCTTCATCACGGACTGATATACAATGCAGTCCGCTCGAGCGTTAGACACAGACTTCCGCTTGAGCGTGAAAAGCGCCGCTCGAGCGTGGAATGCACACTTCTAGAAGTTCTGCAGACGAAGGTCCCCGCTCGAGTGTGAAAGTTGACGAAACCATTAGGTCTCAAAAGTGAAGCTTTGCAAATATAACAAAAATAAAATAAAATAAAATAAACACAACAGGCTATATGGCCACCTGGTTCGCCTCTTCGCCTAGGAATAGGATCGAGGCGATCCTCACCTTCGCCGAATTCCCAGTTGCCTTGGACGACGACCATAACGTCGTCGACTCACTTCCCAGATTTGGAAAGCATAGTCACTAGTTGATGGTTGGTGTCCTTGGCCCTAAGGAAATAATGACCGTGCCGACCGGAAGACTTGGCCAAGGCATAACAATGCCGAATAGCAAGAATACCAAGGTTTATCCTAAGACGACGGTTTAGCGCTACAATCCCCATTATGACTCTAAAGAAATTGACATTGGGTTGGGAAGGAATTAGACCCCAATAGCGAAGCACAGCCCTAAGGAGCGGGTTAAGGTGGAATCGAACTCCACCCTCTGCGATTAATAAGAGGGGGAAGATGATCGTGGTTTCGTCAGCCCTCTCTATATCGAGGGTGCCGTCTGTCACCAGAGATAGATGGACGTCATCAGGAATGGAAAAATGGCGTCGGAAACTAGAAATTCGATCCAAAGAGAGAAGATCTTTCAAATGTTTTGCCATTTTCTTCAGTTTATAGGTATATTCTAAACTAAAAACAAACTGGGAAAAAGGATTCAGAGCAGAGAGGGAAAAAACTTACAAGAGACGAAGAAGGTTGTGAAACAAAGTTGCAGAAATAGTTTGAAAGGGAGGCCAGCAACAAATATCTAAAAGTGTATGTATTTGAAAGGACGTCCAAATTTTAAATCATAATAAATAAGAGTGTACGAAGGGGCGGGAAGTTGAAATGATAACCAAAAAGCGTGTGCTTAAACATCTGCATTGGAATGAGGTCAGCCGCTGAATTTCGTCCTTGACTTTTCGAGTTCGAAACCAAACACTCCAACCAGCTGTCATTAGTAGGGTGTTTGGGGGGCAATTGTGGGGGCCGAATAATGGGGGTTGTGAAATAAGCCGAATGTACGAATCTGGAAAGCTGGAACATAAATATAGTGTTCGGCTCTTCCCCACGTATTCGACTTCTTGTCCTATTCGGTCGGAACGCCGGTTGGGTAAGGGGCTGAATACCAAATTGAAGATGGGCCCAATCCTGAGGTCCAAGAAAGAAAAAATATAAATAGGAGAACATCAGCCAGAAAGAGGCATGAGAGAACCAAGATATTTAACTTAGAACACAAGTAATCCTGAGTGTGGAGACTGATTTGCCCGTCAGAGTGCTAATTCCGACACCCATGATCGGAGTGTTTATTCATTTTCAGGTGATTAACGGAGGATCTTGAGCGTCCCCCAGGATCAGAAAAGTATTTCCAAACCACTTCTCCACAAGAACAAAACCCCTCTTTATACATTTTGAAATCCTAACACCCAAAATTTCCCAACTCCAACATTAAATCAAAATGAGTAATAGTTTATGTCAAAGATCATAAAAATGAGTAGTTATCCCTACCTCAAGAGATGAGACCCAATAGCGAAGATGAGAAACTCGAATGTGCTCTAAACTCAATGATTTTCGGATCCAAATGAAGATCAAGCAAAGCTCCACGCTTTTTACAAAGACACTAGGGTGGAAGATCACTCAAACTAGATCAAACCTTAGAGAGAAGGTGAAATGTAGTGAGAGAAGCTCTCAAAATAGGTTTTTGAAAAGTAAGAGAGAGAGAGTGTATGAAAAGTGATCTGAAATAACGCAGTCCAGATCTGATATACGTATGACTTGCTCGAGCGGATAATAGGACGCTCGAGCATCAAACACAAAAACTGGACCCGCTCGAGCGCAAGTATTCCCGCTCGAGCACCGAGACACAACTGCGAACTCCACCCGCTCGAGCACAAAGGAAAACCCGCTCGAGTGTAGATTACACTCCTCCAGTATTTTTACAGACTTCGAACACCCGCTCGAGCGCGACCTGCTCGAGCGTAAAGAACTCCGCTCGAGCGTGAAAACACACCGGCAGTATTTTTTTGCAGACACACAAAATGATGAAAGGATGCAAACTCCGCTCAAGCGCAAGAAGACCCGCTCGAGCGGATCACCAAAAACCTAGGCAACAAGAATGGGGACCAAAGCTCAACCAACCTGTTTCAAACTTGGCCAACACAACCTAAAACTCAAATACCAACAGTAAAGGATGGAAATGAGAATAAGACAACAACACATCCACGGAGCCGGGTTTGGAATACAGTAAACAATGAAGGGGAAAACCCAGGATCGCTATAAATATAATATAAAAAAGGAAAAAAAGAAGACATTTAAAATAAAATAAAACAAAAAATTTAAAAATCACAATCTATCTATACTATATATTAAGCAAAATGGGGTTTTTAACCTCCAAGGCCTGTGGGAGTTCCAATAACCCAATCTGAATTTTCTAAATTTTTAATTTTTTTTTTAAAAAAAACCTCAGCATTTATTGATTTGGTCAAACTCTCCTGATCAGCATTTATTAACTTTTTTCAATTTACATATCTTTCCACATGCCTGTATTTATTGATTTGGCCAAAATCCCCTGATCAATATTTAAAATCCCCTCAAACAAATAATTATAGATACAATCCATACATAGTTACTGCAGTACCCTTTTCAACTTCTCCCATACACTATGGTTAGTGATAAGATTGTTAAATTATTTTTATAAAAAATCTTAGAAAACATAATTCACATTTTAAAAAAAATCTAAAACAAATATAAATATTTATAATTATTTCGTGCATAGCACGGGTGATAGATAATTCACATATATAGATAATTGTAAACATAATCCGTGCATGGAAGCTCCAATCTCTCAATTTGAATTTTCTAAATTTTTTATTAAAAAAAAAAAAAAAACTCGGCATTTATTGATTTGGTCAAAATCCCCTGATCAGCATTTATTAACTTTTTCCAATCCACATGTCTTTCCACATGGCTGCATTTATTGATTTGATCAAAATTTATTGATCAGCATTTAAAATCTCCTCATACAAATAATTATAGATACAACCCATGCATAATTACTGCAATACCATTTTCAACTTCTCCCATACACTATGGTTAGTGATAAGATTATTAAATTATTTTTATAAAAAATCTTAAAAAACATAATTTATATATTAAAAAAAATCTAAAACAAATATAAATATTTATAATTATCCCATGCATAGTACGGGTGATAGGCTAGT